ACCATCCTTCTCCTCTCTCTCTCTCTCTCTCTCTAGAGTGCTGTCTCTCTCTCTCTCTCTCTCTCTCTCTCTCTCTCTCTCTCTCTCTCTCTCTCTCTCGCTGTATGTGTGTGTGTGTGTGTGTGTGTGAGTGTGTGCGTGTTTGTGTGTGTGTGAAGCCAGACAAGCATTGCTGTGTGTGCTCACCGACTTCCTGCCTGTGTTGGCCACACGAACAAGACAAAGACGACTCACCTCAGCAGGGTGCAGTGTTGAGACTTAAGTCAAGCAGGTGTCGTTTTCTGGGTAAGATCCAAGCAGGAAATAAAATGCAGCCGCCACAACATGGAGTGGCAGTGGGATGTACACAGCAAAATGAAATGGATGTACGCAGCCTCGCTGGTCCAGGCCAAGGTTGGATAACAACAAGCAAAATAGTGCCAGCCGGACTACTGGGAATCTGTACAGATTCGGGGACGGGGCGTCCATTTAAAAAAATGGAGAAGTATGTAAGGCTTCGTAAGCATCCCTCTTTTTTTTATGTTCCGGTCGCAATCAGTGCCGGCATTTGCAGACCCGAGAGCTTCGGAAGGTGGGGAAGCATACCTATGGGTGGGAAGCACATGAACATTGTCCAATTGGGCAAGTGCACTGAAAAAATCTGAAGTCTCCCATTACACTGAGGGCTTAAACCTGTAAAGGCCAGAAAACTTCAAAAAAGGCTTGTACCATTCCTCAACACTCACAGCTGCAACAGTCAAATTTCACATCTTGCCCTCAGAATGAAGGTCACCCTTTGCCCCCTCTTTTAAACTTCGACTGCTTGCACGCTTTGTTTCAAATTTGCTAGTACATCCGGGCCCAAGTGAATGACTGCCCGTGAGGGGCTGGCTGCGAACATTCTTCTTATGCGCCAAGGTAGAGATTTGCTGACAAGGGAACCAACTGCGAACGTATGTGGAAGTATCTTGGAAGTATCTTGGAAGTTGCCAACCAAGTTGAACCAACTGCAACAACCCCCATGCAACCACAACCCTCATGCGCGTCGCTTTTGTTTGCAAAATTTGCACGTTTTTTTTTTGTGGGTGGAGCCGTGACAGGCAAGGGCATACTCGCAATGCAATCCCAAATCCGCAAAATATGCGGACTTGGGAAGGGCCGATTTGAGGTTTCGGGGATGGTTCACGTCACACTGCTGTACCTTTTCAGATGGGACAGGGTCGTGGCCGTCTAGAGAAATGGGGATTTGGTACTTGGCTGGTCACACTGCGCCATCCACAAATCGTGCAAGAACATTTGTGAATGAATTTTTATCAATTTTCGAAGAAAATGCGAAAAATGAAATAAGGCGTTTGCAGTCACCTCCAGAGGTGACTGCAAATTCCCGTGCCCTGCGGTTATGCAGGCCGCTAACAAATGAGCACACGAATAGTACATTTAGGACTTTGGAAAATCTGTGTGACCGACCGTCTGCCCTTTTTGGGGGGGGATTTGGGATTTTGTAGGTTCCACTGTGAGTATGCCGTCAGGGCACGCTTGCACTGTGTACCCAAAGTCGTATTTTCCTTAAAAGATGGGATACCCGATTTGCGAAAATAGTGGGTGGACTGGTCATACTGTTTCCCCCTTTCCCATTGGACAAGGTTGCGGCCGCCCGGATTTTGGGTCCTCTTCGACTGCTCTACTCACACTGCGAGATGGCATTTCCTGCCACTATCTTCGCCTTCGAATTTCTTTCCATTTCCGCAGGTTGATTCCAAACAAGAAAAGGAATTTGCGGTAACCTCCCAAGGTCACCGCAAATTCCCAACCCCCGCGGCCTCTCAGACCGCTGACAAATGGGCTCAGGAGTAAGTCATTTGGGGAAATGAGATCCTGGTGTAACTATCCCTCAACACTCTTTTTTTTCTGGATGTTGGGGATTATGCGTATTTGGCACCGCTGTGTGAGCCTCCACACGACTAGAGAATTCTCGAGTTTCAAGGGCGCCCTAATCACATGTGGTTAGTTTTCACTACAAGGAGTCTTTGTTCCATGTGCACTAGAGGCCGCCCTTGAAAGGAAAACACCCTGGGCCTCCGTTTCGCGGGGAGCTCGTGGGGGCCATGAAATCCAGTAGTGCGGCCGCTGGATGAAAAGATGTCCGTTCTCAAGTGGGGCCACTGACGTGAGGGACCACTGTTGATGTCATCGTCTGAGGGAAGTGACCATGCCGTTTGTTGGAATTCAAAATTTCATTCGCCATGGTATCCTGTGCGGGCGGCGGTAATAGCCACGCTTTCACTTGCCAAAACCTCGCTGTCTTCAGTCCTTCATGTTCGTGCAAGCGGGGCAAACATATCTGGCGTCTCCAGTGTGTCGTCGCTGGCAGCAGCGAGACCGGGTTCGAAGTCGAGGTTGACAGGCGAGATGGAGATTGACGGCATGGCAGGGCATGGTGAGGAGGGTGGGCGTGGAGGGCTGACCGAGAGGGAGAAGTGATTGGTAGTGACAGCTTTAGTGGCAGTGTCTCGGCATGTGCAAACGACGAATGGGGTGCGACAACGGCGGCGAGTTGTGTGAGGGAGGCTGTTGTCACGTAGGCAATGGCGGATTCAATGTCCTTTGCAATTGTCTGGGATGCGTCTTTCCTCATGCCTAATGCCATCTTGGCTGGAGTGCTGCCGAGGGATATGTAGAGGTGGTCGGTTAGGAGGAGGATCAGGAGCACCTGGCAAGATCTCAGCATCGACGACGATGCGAGTGAAGACTGTTATCACAAGAAGTTGGCGAGACACACCTTCCACGAGATCGTCGCCGCTTGTGCACCGTATCTTCGGCTCACCCAGTACTCCAGTCCTTCGCAGCCTGAGCAGCTGGTCGTGTTCGCTCTTTACAGATGGGCGTCCAATGAGACCTTCGACAGCGCGACGTCATCCTTCAACATGGGGAGGTCTTCTGAAATCAAGGTGTTGAGGGATGTCATGAATGCCATCTTGTTGATGTACCCTGATAAGATACGCATGTTAACCGGTCAGCGGTTGCTCCAAGTTATGGCGGCATGGATTGCACCCACGTGTATGTGGATAAACCCGCTAATGCCCCATCCGAGAATTATTACAACCGGAAACCGCAATACTCGATCTTCGCTTAAGTGGTGGTTGATTTGGACAAGCGCGCCATCGACGTGTTCGTCGGGTACCCCGGCAGTGTCCACGACGCGAGGGTGTTGTGGAACTCCTCGTTGTGCAGGCATGAGGAGGCGGGCATGTTGTTCACAGTGGAGGCGGTTACTCTTCCCGGCGGAGTGCAGACAACGGGGTACGTGCTTGGGGACAATGGCTATGGCCCCGTGCCATGGCTGGTGGTGCCTTACGGCAGAATGGTGGAGCGCAATGACAAGGCGTACTTCGACACGTGCCACAAGACTGCGAGGAACGTCGTGGAGAGGGTTTTTGGGCGGTTGACGGACATGTGGAGGTTACTCCTCAGGCACCACAAAACGAATATGGATAACATGCCCCAGCAGTTTATGACGGTTTGCATCATCCACAACCTGCTCATCGACGCAGGGGTCGACTTCGACGAGTGCTTGCTAATGGAGAGAGACGCGAACGGGATCGAGCAGCTGATCGACATGCATGAACCCGCTGTCCCGATGTCTCAAGTGGACGCAAACGAAGCGGCGCTGGACTTGCGTGTGGCACTAACTCACTGCATGCACCTCCTCCGGGAGTAGATGTGGCAATATATTTTGTTGCCTCACCTCGTGGGTGTGAACACGTGGCACTGCATTTAGGGTTAGAGGATCTTCGATGACGGTGTACTCGGTGGGGATGGCGATTTTGTGGTAGTGCTTGGCACATTCCAGTCGGGCGTGGGTAGTTGGTTTAGATGTTCTGTTTGAGGTGGAAGTCAATCCTTTTGTCGTTCCGCGAAACCAATCAATGCTTGCACTTGCAGTTTTTTCATGTTGTTTTGTCCATTGAAATGGTTCGAATTCCTTACTATGTGTGTGTGAATCGGGTGTATGGCTGGTTTGGTGTTCGGACTGTGAGCCTTGTTATTTTTCGTTTCCTTTCTCCGCACTGTGGTTGCCAATCGAACACACATGAACTGGTGGTATGCCTTATGAAATGTTTTTCATCCTTTACAATCGCATACTCCATATGCCCTTGTCTTGCTTTCCAAAAACGTAGAGGTTAATCAAGTCCTTTCATTTGGATTCTCTGTTTTCTCTCTCCATTCACTGATGATGTTTGTTTTGCAGTGCGAATCTCGCATACGGCCACAACACAAACACAGCGTTGATGGGGAATTAACATTTAAAAAAAAAAATGCACCGAACACGAATAACACAGATGCCATTCACATAGGTCTTGGGGAGTGTTACAAATCACGATGTGCAAACGACAATTTTTCCTACGAAATCACAGATGGTAGAAACTCGATATTCTCAATTGCAGAACACACTCCGACTTTGAATTCATTGGAAGTACATTGTTTGCAGGGTCACAACCATCGATTCCTTCTCACCTGCCGTCGTTGGCGGTCCATAAACCCTACCGGGAGACTCTCTGAAACAGTTTTCACCTTTGGCAGTAGCCGATGCAGATCCCAGGGGTCGATCCTTTGACCTCAGCTAACCTGTGTACAGTATCTGCACATTTGCCTGGAGTTGAACCCGTGACCTGCACGATAGCCAGTGGTAAGTAGGTCGCCGTAGGTTGTAGGCTGGAGGGAGATTCGAACTGTAGACCTGTAGGGTAGGAGTCCAAATAGAGTCCAGAGGCCTAGCTTTAGTCCTTCTAGAAGGTCGGCAAGTGGTCAAGTGGTGAGACTAAGGTAGGCCCACGTTTTTCAGACGAAGACAAGTGGCAAGGTCAACAGGTAGGACCTCAGTGCAACTGCACTGAGTCGACGGTACGACTGCCTACAGTCAGGAGAAGGGTCTAGAGAGTCCCAGTCCAGTCCAGCAAGTACCATAGGGGGACTGTGAGCACCAAGGGCCGAAGGTAAAGGGCAGACCAACGAATTTCTGAAGTATAAATCAAGAGGCAGCGCCCAGCCATTCATTCATTCCTGCGTGAGCCATGCGGAAGCGCTGCC